AGCATTTCATGAGAATGCATCGCGATTTATTGAGCCGTATTGGTGTGCGAATGCGCGCGTGTAATCAGGCAACTGAAAATATTTCCGCTATTTCGGTATTATTACATCCAAAATACATTCATGGGATTTTAAATTTAGATATCGCGGATATGCTGATTTTCTCATCTGCAATTTCCATCAAATTTTCTATTTTATCGAAACACAAATTTGTAGTCTTCGGCCTTGTTATTTTATTTTTTATTTTTTATTTTTTTCGTGTCGACGTATATCGCGTTACTTATAGAAGCGATACAGCCAACGCGAGAAACGGCATCGCACCGTGATTTCGCATTGATTAACCGCCGTACCCGACTTGCGCGACACAAACGACCGCACTAACGTCCCGATTGGCAAAGATATTATGACAGTTAACAATCTTAACGCACACTTTATGTAGCCGCACGCGCGAACAAACGCGCGGTGTATTTCTCGCAGCCGCGATGTGTTTTTTTTTCGCGCCCCACAGAGCGGAGTATGTGTTTTCCGATGTGGAAAGCCGCGAAGTTGTTTACGCTGTTGTCCTGATTCGCGTCCGTGTTTTCCGCGGAAAGCATCGGGGGATAATGGACGATATTTCCAGGGAACTTCGCAACCCCGTATCCCTCTCGTTGGAGTAACGACGCGCGAGCAGCGAAATTTCCATAGCGCGAATTAATGCGCTCCTCTGAACCGGAAGTGGATAACGAATCTGTTAAAATCGCGCGGCTACTCCCGCGTACTTGATTCGTCGATTTAATCGTTTTTCCGCGCGATCGACCGGCAGATGTTGTTCCGGAAGAAGGTGTAACGGTGCAGCGACAGATTCAATAACGAGCCGGTCCGCGGGAAAATCGAGATGAAACGCGATAGCGGAGGAAACGCGAAATAAACATTACAGTCTCATTTGCGCGGAATTCAGCGCTGTACATTAATTTAAGCGATTAAATTAACATCATCAATCAGAATTCATTTTGCTTGATTATCGCAAAATGTATATGTATATTTCTCGATGAATCGATAACGGCAATTTGCATATTTACGTATTTCCGTATCGAAGCGTCGCTTTTTTGAAAATTAGCCGCCTACGCGCCCAAGTTAAATCGCGTGTTTTCGCGATACACGGTATTGCATGAAGAGGATACATTATTCCTCCCATCCCCTCAACAAAAAAAAAAAGGACAGATTGCTCGCCAAAATACCGCCGGTGCTGCGCTTAATCGGAGGATACGGTTGACGTGGCGTAATTGCGAGCGAGAGGACAACTGATAAACTTTCGGCGGTCAATAATCGCGGTGCGTCGAACCTGCAGCTAAAAGCTTTGACCTTGCACACGCCGGGAGGAGAAAAATTTATTCATGCACGCGCGCGGGTCTGGGGAGGTTTTCTACGTACTCGCCCACACGCGGGACGTGTCACACCCATTTAATTTCGCGGTTTCTCTTCTTTCATCTCCTCCTCTCGGGTTTCTTCGCCCGAGAGTCGCTGTAATCACCTCTGTCTTCCGCTCCCCATCCGCCACCCTTCCAATCCCCGACGTGATCAGCGCGCTGCTCCCTTCTGGTCCTCATTATGCGCCATTTATCCTTCGCTCTCCTCAGCTGGCAGGGAGACGGCTCGAAACGCAGAAAGGGGCAGCCTCGCTATTTTCAGTTAACTTCTTATTGCACACTGCCAAATGACACGATAACGTTCCTCGATCTCTTCCTCAAATGGTAAATGCTTGCTAATGAAAGTTTTGCCGAATTTTTAGGACGAAAGTATTTCACCTGACTGCGTCAGAAATTTTTTCCCTCCATCTCAACATAGTTCTATTTCAATGTATTAATACGAAATTTCGGACAGACCTGAGTGGTTTTTTCAGAAAATATATGAATACTTGGGCGGAAAGTCGAGAGAATAAAAAGAGCAGTTGTTTTCTACGGTACGGGACTCTTACTTTTCTTTTATGCAGTTCAGAAGATTTCTCGTACACAGTGTGTGCGTCGATCGAGAAGATTGAGTGGTCGCTATGTGTTCCCGTTCGGTATACAAGTCACGTACGAACAGGAGTTGACCACAACAAATGTAATTTTCCTCCGCCGAATTGCAATCTTGCTCCGGATCGAAATTCACACAATGGCGCGACGCTATAATCAAACCACGAATTAATCAATATTCTTTCGCAATATCCTAACTATGAGAAAATTCGGGAGTGATGTAAAGCGCAACAACATGAAATATTTGAATGGAGCGAATAATCGAGATAAATAGGTCGTCGCTAAATTATATAATATATAAACTGCCAGGCTCGTGTTAGATAAAAAACCACGTCGTTTGAAATGCCATGTCGTTTGCACTGCTGAACAAGTATGTAAAGTCACATAAATGATGGGTGTAACAATTACATCATTAATAGCGGGAATGTATAAATTACATACTTTTACAAAAATTACTTTTTTACACTTATCCTGTACACAATTGTTTGTATTTTTATGAAAAATTGCAAAATTAAAATCAAGCAGATTATATAAATTAATAACCTCTACAAGATATAAATTTGCTAAACGCATGTAAATATACAGCTGCGATGTACGGTCGCAATATTACCCGCTGTAACAGTTGTAGCTTCAGTGCGAAATTTTGTTACGGTATACCTTGCAATGTCGGTTCGACACGTTCGACTTTATCTCACCGTTTTCTCAATACGGGTATAATCGTTGCGCGCGCAAAGAACTGCAATATTCCATGCAATCTGTCGTGTCAGCTCTCGTGCAGCGAGATACTTGGCGTTCTCGTGCATTCTTACGTGGGATGTGACTCGCGTACTCGCAGAATCGCGGAGAGAACGGAAGATGGAGGGCGCGATGCATTAGAGCGTAGGTGGGCCCCTCGCATTTCTTGGCGATGTAAAACGATATTATGCGCCAGATCCGAGGCGGGGGCTCTATTGGAGGTCGTGGCCTGTTTTCACTTTAACTAATTTTCCGAAATCTGTACCATTGATTCGAACGGTTTCTAATATCGACGGAAAAAAAGGTGGTACCATTCTCTCTTGTTGGTAGAAGCATCTGGAATATCCGAGGAGATGACAGATTTAGAAAATCTATACCTGAAATCGATACATTGGTCGCTAAGTAAAGCTGCTCATACGGCGAAAAAGTTGAAGTCTCCCATGGCTAACCATGGTCTCCCCGGGTTCAAATCTATAGGCGGCTGCAAACATAAAAGAAAAGGATATTGCCATTTTCTCGCGCTGGTAAAAAAATCCAAGTGAAAGATCTAAGAAATTCGAGAAGATAACATGAATCTATTTTGAGAATGTCGCAGCTTCAGGACTTAAAAATCTACCTGAAATTCATACATTGCTCGCAAATAAAAGTAAAGCTGCTCATACGGCGAAAGAGCTAAAGTGGTCTCCGACGGCTAACCATGGCCTCCCCGGATTCAAATCTATGGGTGGCTGCAAATATCAAAGAGAAAGGATATTGCCATTCTCCCGCGCTGGTAAAAAAAGTCCAAGTAAAAAATCTAAGAGAACCGAGAAGATAACATGAATCCATTTTGAGAATGTCGCAGCGTCAGGACTTCTGGAAGTAGGAAAATCTACCTGTACGGGAATTCTCTAACTTGCTATCGAGGTTTTTCGATAACGTTAACTGGGAACAACCAATGAAAATCTGCGTCTCTTTCGAAGATCGTCCTCGCCATTGGCTGTCGCTAGTTAACGATACCGAAAATCATCGATTGCAAGTTACAGAATTCCCGTACTGAAATCCATGCATCGCTCGCAAATATAAGTAAAGCTGCTCCGTACTGTGAAAAAGTAGGCAACAGCGGTCCGCTATGGCTAACCATGGTCCCCCGGGTCAAAATCTACGGACGCCCTTGCTTGGGCTCGTGCCAACGTGCGCTGCCTCTCGCCTCGAACCGGCACGAAAGTTACGCTCTCGGTACTCGATCAACGTCCTAACGTCGCCGATTATACCCTTACGTATCTGCGTCCGATGCGAAGCACATACACGCATACTCGTCTGGCGGGGGCCATCGGGTGCGCGGTTATCGAATTACGTCAATTTTCCGATACCTCTGCCGGCATTCGCGACATAACGACGCGACAAGCGGAACATACCTCGCTCTCCTGAATTCTAACGACATTAAAGTTAACTCGCTTCTTCGCAAAGGAAGAGGCGCTCCGCCGCGCCGTCTGCCGTTTGAAGGTGAGGGTTGCTTCCGAGAAAGCGTTTCCCGAGCGCAATTCCGGCGCAAACTAAATTGCCTGAAAGGCGAGAGAAATCCTTTTTCGATTTTTATTAGCTCCCGTCTCTGCAGACGACGACATGCGAGTCGGCGATGATCAAATGATGCATTCTGCGTCTCTTTACCGCTTAGGAAGCGCCTTTCGCGAGAATGGGCACGCGGGATCTTTTTTGGATAATCAGGAAGATGCTTTTCCGCTCGTTGCATATCTCGCGTCTATCCCAGCTATTCGAGTCGCCGCTGATCCACGGCAGCCGTGAGGTCGCACTGATGTTGTTCCGACAAAGTTTCCGTCGAGCCGGTGCGAGAAGAGCTTTAACTTCATCCAATGTCCAAGCGAGTATAAGCGAGCAGCAACGAAAATTCCGACGTTGAAACTAAAGCTCGTTGATTACTTTCCCGGGCAATAGACAGTCGAAAACTTGTTGATTACTTTCTTAAACGCTTCCTTAGGCAGTCGTAAAATGTTTCTTTATTTTTGTTTTATCTCACGCGGCGCAACAGTAACCCTTTCTCGCGGAAGTTTTCCAGTTGCGTCACCAGTTGACACCTTATATCCTTTTAATTACACGAAGAACGTACATATCTTTATTCAGTACCGTGTATTACATACCTACGTGTACATATCGTGTGTATTCCTATATTTATGTAAATACAGTTCATTTTTGCACCCTCGCGAATTTTTTCCCCATCTCCTCAAGCGAACATCTCCCTCTTTCTCTGACACGGTTATTTCTATTTTACAGCAACGGTGAGCAGGTGACAACGAGGACCGTGACGCACGCAGCCAACAATCGACTGAAAATGGCCAAAAGCGCCGAGAGATTACCCGGTACTTCTACCAGACTTAGGACCAGGGACGACGGCTGCTGTTCCGTGAATTTCTTGAAATACGTTCTTCACATTTACAACGTGGTGTTGTTTGTACGTACCATCTATTTATCTCGGCGCGAAAGAGGGGAATATTTTATTTCGGGGACACACATCCGCGCGTTAAACACAAATGGAAGACGGGGGGACATTGTGAAATCCGCCGTCCCGCCTCACGAGAGAATCTCTCCTGGCCGACGCGACGGTCCTCTCTCTCTCTCTCTCTCTCTCTCTGCGCTCTCCGACAAAGTTACTTTAATCCAAGTCTCGTTTTCCCGACCGTTTATGTAGTCGTAGACTTTCCGCCGCGAGAGACGTGAAATCGCTCGGCGAGCAGAGCACCGAAGCGTTCATTTTTCCTAACTTTTTACTTTCGATAGCTCATGATTCGCAACTTGGTAAAGCTCAATATCTTTAATGGAAAGAAGCAATGTCAATCTTATTAAATTGCAAGGGGATATTGATAGCATGTCGCGCCAAATTGTTGTGAAACTGAACGATTATTGCGAGACTTATTACGAGATACGTCGAGCTGCAGCGCGGAAGTCACGAGTCAACCGAGATACTCTCTTAAACGCGGTCTTTGATATTCAATATATTAATTGAGCCACTGCGCCGGTACTTTGCAGTTAAAGAATACGCCTTTCAAAGGAAGTACGACAGAAATACGGAACGTCCCGTATAACGGTCCGCTCAAGTGATTGTCATTGAAACAAGGTGAAAAAAAGGGCGCCATTATTCGACAATTACTCTCGTCTGTCTTCCGCTTTCGCAATTTATGGGAAATTAAAGCGGCGAGAGCGGCGGATTGTTCGTTGCCATGGTGCACATTTATCGTAAAGACGGACCGTTCTCGGTCGTCACCTCGCCGGATGTCCGGCGAGCTTTCGCAATCACCGGCACTCGCTGTAACCGATGAGCGGTTATCTGTCTTTAATTATTATCATGAATACCACGCGTTCCTAGCGCGAGTTAAATTAATAAACGGAAGGCAGAGAAAGAGGAGGAAAGAAGAAAGAGAGAGAGAGAGAATCACCGCGTATCGACGGACCTTTCAGACGAGCGTTTCTTTGATCGCGTGCGTGCCTGCGATCCTATAAGAGAACTTTATTGTACGTGGAACGGAGGGGGGGGGGACAGCCGAGGGATTAAAGTGCAACGCGAGAAATAATCGCGTTCGTCGTAACAGCTCGCGCGGCGAATAATTGGAGCGCGGAGGAGCGGATATTGCGCCGGAAGAACGGCGTTTCGCGTTAATCGAAAGGGAAGCTTCACGCTCGTGCGCGGCTAATTACATAATAATCTCGTATACGCGGATAATCGTACGATGCAGCGTATCCCGCGAGTCATTAATCTCGCGCGATAAATTAATGTTGATCATTCTGACGAAGGTGTATCCATGTTGTGCAGAGTGTACACGAAAAATCGCAGCCGCTCCAGATCCGCCGCGCGGAATTATACGCAATGCAAAAAGACGCTCGCTCGGATCACGAAGGTAGAGAGAGAGAGAGAGAGAGAGAGAGAGAGGGTTCTTATTTTTCGCGCGACACCTTTGCTCCACTTGTAGCGAGTCCTCTTCTCTCTTCTCCTCCTCCGCTCACTCCTATATTTTCGATATTATAAAAAAAATGAGGTATATACCGACATCGACGCTCGCGCGAGGTGATACATGCCATAAAATGCTAATAAAGTCCTCGTCGTAAAGTGCAGACACCTTGTACGTTGTCTGGGATACAAGCGCGCCAGCAACGACGCGGTAGGAACGAAGCGCTTTAAAGTGTGGTCGAAGGAAAAGAGAGAGAAAAAAAGGGCGGAATGAGGGAAAATCGATCGGTGGTCCCCGCATCTATCGGCTTTATAATTTTGGTCCTAAACGTCGGCACCTCGTTAAAAAGCGCGATGCCGATGGATGATTTTGTGATTAAATAGATGAGGTTCCCGAGGCCGATCGGCGAGATTACGGTTCAAACAAGAGTCGTTGTCTTCCTTTTATTTTTCAGGACTCTGTTCGCCAAAATCATTTTACTTCCTCGACGATACTCGTTATCGAATCTTGTTCATCAGAATGCCGGAACTTTTAATGAAGATCATTATCTTCTAATTAAAAGTGATCGGCAGATCTCGCGTTTCGCTGATTTGCGGAAAAAAAAATGATGCACTGAAAGGGGATTGATATAATTTTTGGCGTTATATTCTTGGTAGTTTTATTTACAAGGAAGGTAATCTGAAAATTCCTACAAATCTGAAACTTCGCGTAAGTAAAATGTGAACCTATAAATCACACAGCAATTTTCACTGATAAGCGGTTCTAAAGGTAAAACACCTCTTCAGAGAAAATCTGACTTTCCATGTTCCTTAGTTTTCGAAATGTATTTTGGAATATATTTTAAATACCTGGTTTTTTGTAAAACAACAAAGAGATCTTACTTTTGACGAGTACGATGCCTCGTGAGAAAAACTCTAGTGATAGGAATAACCGAAAATAGGTTTTATAATTCAACGAAAAACTACTGTGGACATTCTCGATCAATTTATAAGAACTTTACACTTGCAATAACGAATCGCTGATCGACGATTATTGTTTATGTTTGACATTTATGCTTATGACGCGTTTATATTACGGACTTCAATAGTTCCGAGTTGGAACTCGAACAAGTTAATGAAAAGAAGATTGCTTGTAGAGCTTGGAAAATTACTTATGAAAGAACGTATTGCATCAAAGACGTATGTGTCAGAAGGACAGAAAAGTTGTACAAGATCGTAAAGAAAATTCCACCTGAAGATCGAAATATAATTTTAAGATATATTGAATTCTGGCAGATACAAAAATTAATAAACTCGTCGCAAATTTTGCCCATCGAGCAGCGACAGTGATTTACCGCTATAGTTCAAAATTGCTACGCGATTAGGTTCATATGTACTTTATTTCTGCAACGTTTCAGATTTAGAGATGTGTTCGGACTGCAGGCTTTTTATTATTAGCCCTTTGTCGTTCTTGATGTACAAAAATAGCACACAAGTCAATCAATCATACTAGCTGTTTTATAAAAGTAGTAAGTTTGGAATAGTTCATGATAGTTTATCTATCAATCGAAACGCGAACGTGTGAATTTCGGAGTGCGAACGATGCGCATTTCTCGTTTTCGCTCGCGCCTGTGCAACAACGTAAGTCTCGTTGAATGTGAGGCCTTAAACGTCTGCGCGTAATAAGGTTCAATAACGCGAGCATAATGTAACAATAACCTGCCCCGAACAATGCCGGCGCAACAATGCCGGCCGCTTAACACGTGCGTTTACGCCCATTGATTGCATTCAGAGAAGTGTAGTCACTGCCAGGCCGAAGTCAGTGAATTCAATGTTACCGTCGTCGATGCACCGGCGAGACGGTAAGTGCATAATTTTAGAGACCCTTGCACGCGCACTTCGGCGAAACCGAGATAACGCGAAAAACGATTTTATTCCAATTTAACAGCGCGGAAGTATAACCGCGCACGCAAACGAATTCAACGGAAGTGCCATTTCTCTCCCGGAAAATATCGCTCTAATATTTGCCATAACGTTTTTTGGCATTAAAAAGTTCAACAATTGGGAAAAGGTAACTGTTTTTTCAGGTAATTACTTTACAATTACGTCAATCAACAAGATTTTTCTAACACTGATAAACACATTCTGTATACACTAATTATGAATATGATGATAAAAAAAAACGTCATCGCACTTTTTTACAACAACTGTTTTAGTCTATAAAGGTGACAATATATTTTCTTTTCTGTAATATGTTTTTTTTCACAAATAGGCATTCTTTTTAGTTAGTGTCGTACATGTATCTTCACTTTTATGGAACAGAGGAGTGTCGGTCTCGAAATAGGTCAATGCTTTATTACCGTCACGCGGACTTTTCCTGTTATTTTTGTCATAAAATTTATCTGCTTATGTTTTAATACGTCCTTTGTTATTAGATTGAATGGTTACTTTGATTTCGGAGCTGCTTTTGAGAATTTTAATGCAAAAAATGGGGCCAGTTTGCGATACAGAATTTCTTTCGAAACTAAACAGTACACGCCAATAATAGAAAAATACGAGGTACTGCAAACTTTTCGCAGGTATTTTCGTATTTACTGTACGCGAATTGATTAAAAAACATATCCTATTTCATACATTTTATTAGAAAAAAAGCAGTCTAACTTTGTTGACTAGTCTTATTGTTTTATCGCGGCAGTAATTACTGGCAACATGGACAATTTTTTGATACGCTGTTGATTGACAAACTATTTCCATCGCGCGCCTCGGTCAAGTTGATTCCCATGTGTACGTCGAAAAAACTCCAACGCAGCCGCAATAATATTTGACGTGGACTCTGTTGCGAAGAAAAACGCGCCGACTTTTCGTCGATTTTTTTTACGCCGGGTTATTACGGCAAGCAAAGGGGTAATGAAATAATTACTGCGGATTTTTTGTGACTTCATTCCATTAGGGAGCGGTAATTATGCCACATGCGAAAAGTAGCTTGCCCCAACACCCCCCCTCTTTCTCCGCGCGTGTACTCGATTTCAATAAATCGTTAAGGGATGATTCAATTACTCCAAAGTCGAGAAGTTAGACTTAAATAAGACTAAATAAGACTGCAGCTTTAAGTCTTAGGCATTTTCTTGCGCCTTATAAAGTTTTAATGAGCCAAAGGAAAAATGACATTCGCGTAAATTCGACAAAGTTTGCTCGCAGACACTTAAATAATCTTACTTTATTTTTCGATAAATCGCACGGTGGCCTCGGCGTCACGTTTCCCCTTTCTCGGGCAAGACGCGTCCTCTGACTCTCTTCGCAGGTGCTCTGTAAAACTGAAGAGATCTACGTTGTTTATAACGCCAGCCCGTACGGAATTGTGTTAAATCCGAGCATGAGTAATAACGCGGCAGCCTCGTGTGTGTACGGGGAAATTCCCGCGGGGAATTGGGATACTCTCAGCCCAGAATGGCTTAATTGTAATAATTAACCATATCGTCGGCAGGCTTGCTAATTACCAACTAATAAGTACCTACGCTACTCAACTGAAG